ATAAACAAATATTGACATATTGTGTGAATGTGTTTTTACTACCCATCATTTTCCCATTATGGTTGGATTCATACCCCATGATATGCCCATTGTGTAATAGTTGAACCCACTTTTTGAGTATGTCTCACAGGATATTCCCAGTATATACCTATCGTATTCCTATGAATAAATATACTGTAAATACATACATACTTCTATTCCTATCAGAATATACACACTTTGATTCCCATAGGGACAGTTAAATCCACATTTTACATGAAGAAATATGCTACGCATAAATGCTTGTTCCCATTATATCCCCATTACATCCTATCCACTAGGACTCCTTTGCGCCGCCCCTCGAGGTCGAGAAAGTTCGCATCACCCAGTGGTGGAAGCTGAACCAAAACTGGGAAGTCACCACGCTCTTCTTCACGTCACGCGGTGGAAAACTTCTGGAGCACATACGAAGTGAGCCTCCGCAAAAGAATAAACTAGTGTATAAACCGATGAACTATAGTTATAAAGTGATATTCCCCATAAACACTTTTTTTTTTGCTGGGTATTTTTTTTAAATTACCAGTAGGCAATGAAGCCAAGCTTTGGAAGTGGAAGACACGCAGAGCGGAAAATTGGAAGTGGAATAGCCTCTTCTGAGATTTGCTTAATTTAACGCAAGTGGAGGAAGGAAGGACCTGGCGATGCCGGCCAGAAGGATGAGGAGAACCAAAGGCGAACAACGGCGCCGCAAAAAAAACTGGGTTACTGGGAAAGGCTTGCATTATTGAAGCAGGCTGAGAAGAACGAGGCCAGGAGGTTGAGAGAAGAGGCCGAAGCGGCTGACGCTGAAATGGCTCGTTGGATCGATGAAGATCTTCCTGAAATCAAGAATGAAACGAAGAAGATGAAGAAGGCGACAGGCGCCGACGAGTGAGCGGAGCCACACTGAAAGAAAAAGAACAGACAGACCAAGAGAAGTTAGCAGCAGAGGCTCATGCAGCCGTGGCACTGGCTGCAGCAGCGCCAGCAAATGCTCAGTTGACCCTGGAAACTCAAGGGTTTGGTCCAAAAAAAGTCCCTGTTGAATGGTATTTCCATCTCGCCATGTGTGAATGATATCCACATATATCCCCATCGTATACCATGTTTTGCCAATGTTATGTGACAAAACATATATATATATATAAACATACCCAATGTTGATACATTCACTTTAGTGATCCCAAGCAGTGGATCGAATGTCTACGTTTTCCAGCTCCATCAGGTGGTATCCACAAAGTTAGCTAAGTTGGTTTGCAGCAAAACCAACTAGCCTTCATAGTCATCAAATCATATAGCTCTTGTAACTATAGTCAATAATTTTAGTTGATAGATGTTAATAGTTAGATGGCTGATCAAAAATAAAAGGTCATCTAACATACCGTAACCACAAATTAGGTGCCTAATAACTCAACCAGCAAACATAACGACGGGGGCATCTGACGGCGCTTCTGCGCCCAGGTACACCTTTCAGCTCTTCTGGTCCGCCGTGGTCTACTCCTTTGGCGACGTCTTTCGCTTGCCGTGGTATACCAACTTGGCCCCTCGTTTCGCGCCGTTTGGTGAGCCATTGAAAATAGCCCTGTTGATTGGTGAAGATAGAGGTTTATCACCATCAATTGGTGAATATAGAGGTTTATAACCATCATTTTAACCATCAATTGGTTGAATATAGAGGTTTATAACTTACAACCATAAATTGGTTTATAATACCCCTGTTTATCACCATCAATTGGCTATGTTTTGACGACCAAAAGTTTGGGAATGTCATAGATGAATGATAGTTGATTGGGTATTTTAAAGCATTGCTAACCTACCTGATTTCTGAGGGGTTGATGGTTACAACCTTTAATTAAGGGGGAATGAGCCATTTTGCATGGCTCAAGTGGGAATTTTTAGTTGGTCAACAGTTGGTCAGCTCACTGGAGCCCTGGAAATCTTGATCTGAATGCATGGCAAAGGATGACAGTTTTAGATCTTTGGAAAAGTGAAAAGGTCAACTAATTTCAGTATGACTTGGTGACACAAATGCTACATATATATGTATATATATATATAAGTATCAGTATAAGTATATTAGTATACCGTATACAAATACATATTGCACAGGTGAACAACATACACATAAATGAATAAGTGTTGTATATGTATGATTATTGATATGCTATTGTGTATACAATACATTTTGCACGCATGAACCGACAATACATAAACAACACTGTACTATATATTTATATATGTATACATATGATTATGTGTATGGTCCTATGTATCAATCTATATATATATGTATACATATGCATACATGTAAATGATTGTAAATGCATACATACGTACATATATACACACATTCATACATAGATTACAGTACATGGCCTTTTCTATGTCTATGCAACTATGTACGTATTAACATGTATATGTATATGTATTAATACGTATGTATTGATTCATATTAATATTTTTCTTACGCACAGTATTGGGTCCGACACATCGGCCTTTGAGGTGCTGATGGTTGGAGCCTCAGTGGGCGCTGACGGACCATGGGCCAAGGGCCAGGAATGTTGATGAATACGTTGTGAAAACCTTCAAATCTGATGCGTTTTGATGTGAACACCTCTGAAAAACCCTAAATGTTGATGCTGTTTGTTTGGAAGACCCTGAAATCTGCGGTAATGTTGATCCGATATCATATTGTTTTCATGAATTATTCGGAATAAATGTGTTGGGAGCATGGTGAAATATATCTAGCACCAATAATCTAGTGTCGACATATGACATATGGAAGTGTACTTTCCAAGTGTTGGTTCTGCCACAAGCTCCCACTTTACGGTGACGTTAGTCAACTGGTGTTTTGGAATAGATTCTTCCCAAACACAGTTATGTTTGGATATATTGGTATTCCTATGGTTTAATAAAGACGCGCAACCCCTGGGCTTTGCCCAGGCGTTGCAGCGTAGAGGGTCCCCATTCCTAATCAAATGTTGTTGCAAAACTGCATTCCATCGGGAAGATCAACAAAGGTATTAGGGAATATAAAATCCCACCCCCGCTAAACTACATTCAATTGGGAAGATCAACGAAGGTATTAGGGAATATTAAAGTCCCACCACCGTTAAACTCTACATTCAATTGGGAAGATCAACAAAGGTATTAGGGAATATTAAAGTCCCACCACCGATAAACTTTACATTCATTGAAGATATTCAATAAGGGTTTAATTCTCCCACCCCCGTTAAACTTCTACATTCATTGAAGATCTTCAATAAGGGTTTAATTCTCCGACCCCCGTTAAACTTCTACATTCATTGAAGATCTTCAATAAGGCTTTAACTCTCCCACCCCTGTGAAACTTCTACATTCATTGAAGATCTTCAATAAGGGTTTAACTCTCCCACCCCTGTTAAATTTCTACATTCATTGAAGATATTCAATAAGGGTTTAATTCTCCCACCCCCGTTAAACTTCTACATTCCTTGAAGATCTTCGATAAGGGTTTACTTCTCCAACCCCCGTTGAACTTCTGCATTCTTTAAAGATATTCAATAAGGGTTTAATTCTCCAACCCCTGTTAAATTTCTACATTCATTGAAGATCTTCAATAAGGCTTTAATTGTCCAACCCCTGTTAAACTTCTACATTCCTTGAAGATCTTCGACAAGGGTTTACTTCTCCCACCCCCGTTAAACTTCTACATTCCTTGAAGATCTTCAATAAGGGTTTAATTCTCCGACCCCCGTTAAACTTCTACATTCATTGAAGATCTTCAATAAGGCTTTAACTCTCCCACCCCTGTTAAACTTCTACATTCATTGAAGATATTCAATAAGGGTTTAATTCTCCCACCCCCGTTAAACTTCTACATTCCTTGAAGATCTTCGATAAGGGTTTACTTCTCCAACCCCCGTTGAACTTCTGCATTCTTTAAAGATATTCAATAAGGGTTTAATTCTCCAACCCCTGTTAAATTTCTACATTCATTGAAGATCTTCAATAAGGCTTTAATTGTCCAACCCCTGTTAAACTTCTACATTCCTTGAAGATCTTCGACAAGGGTTTAATTCTCCAACCCCGGTTAAACTTCTACATTCTTTGAAGATCTTCGGTAAGGGTTTGATGATGATGATGATGGTGATGATGATGATGATACTGCGTTGCCTGTCGTGGTTGCGGTTCCGGGCAAAGCCCAGGCATTTGCCGTATATATATATATAGATGGAAACAAGTGAGAAGAGATGGACACACTCACACACACATATGTGCATATATATATATATATATATGTATGTAATTATATATATAATATAGCAACCTCACGGCGATCGAAACCTGGAATCATGGTTAATAAGTGGAATCATCCCCAAATGGCCGAACTATTCAGGTCACTGAAATATATTATAATTTACCCAGATATATACATATATACATGGATTTAAGCCAGTGACGATCACCAGCTCGCCAACAATACCCATAGGACCTCCCTCTTGAACCTTCCTTATTAGTGACCCCATTCCGGATGGTTATGTTGGCATCCCCAAGAGGTATCCAGGTATCCACTTTAACAATTTAAAGGCTGTTAGAGGTTGGGGTCACACCTCTGAATAAGCCGGTGAACTGCTCATTTTGGGGCACCCCAGAGGTTCCACACTTAAAACATATGCAACTCCAAATTTTTAAAGTAGACTCTACTGGTAGACTTCATTTTTTGCAATGAGGTCTCCAATCCCAATGATAGAATGAACATGAGTTAGCAATCACAACTTAACAATCACTTCAACATTCTATAGTTTATTTTATTTGTTTATATTTGGTAAAGTATTTAAAAATAGTTTTTAAGTGATTGAAAGAGTTTTTAAAGAGAACTTTAAAGAGTTTCGAAGAGCCTTACAGAGTTTTGAATAGTTTCAGAGAGGTTAAACATTTTTTCAGAGTTTTGGAATTTATGTACGCAAATTTCAGAGAGCTTTAGCACTACCCAGTGGGAGATGCCGGAGAAGACAGGCTCGCAGTGCATCAGCTGCTCGGACCGGAAAGTTCGAGAAAGGCGAGAAGCTTTTGCCACGGCCAACCAAACGGCGCCCACAAGCGCAGATGCTAACAGCGGATCCACACCAGCATGGCCTCAGGATGCCAGCAAAGCTGACTGTGAACGCTACATTCTAGGTGCTCCTGAACTTGCTCTCCCGTCAGTGTGCACCAAGACGTGTCAGGCTATGTATGGCCTCAAGGGCCGCAAAAATTGGCACACGGTGGCGCCCAAGCTGGATACCTCAGGCATCTCAGCTCAACAAAAGCTTGGCTATCTGCAGGCCGCGCGCGCTGACCTCTCCCTACATTGTCTGGCCACTCATCCCCCTGGATGCCCAGTTCTTGGTGGACCGCTGCGACCAGTGTCGGCTCAATACAAGCAGAGACGGTGTATTAATGCGCCCAGCCACGGCACCTACCCACTCCCCACCAGGCAGGCGAGGTGATCGGATGGGACCTGAAGTCCATTGTTCCGTCCAAGCCAAAGATTTTGGATCATGCTGCTGGCAGTCTACTTTACTTCCCACAAAGTGTGGGCCTGGGACTTGGACCCCAAGCAGGCCAGCCTGAAGAATGTGCAGAACATAAATGCCAGGGTCACATCGAGCAAGGTCTTCCAGGACTATGAAATGCCAACAATGGCCCATCTATTTCCCAATGGCCCATCATTATCAGTTTGTATTCCTAGTTTTGTTGGAACCTGATGACTGGATCCTGATGCTGGTTATTACATTACGCCCAGTGAAGTGGGTAGTATGAGTTAGAATAGGGTAACCCCTAATCTTTCTGGTGAATTCTACCCCTCCGATGATTTATCTGTAAAAAAAACAGAGAATATCCATGGCTGTTGAATTACCAGAGGGCAGTACTACAAGGTGAGGCTAGCTAACTTGACTTATCACGCAGTTAGCTATGGTTTATGGGAAATACAACATGATATAGCGAATTGATGCGAATTGTATATTCCCGGGTTTTCCAACCCTCAGCGGGCTAAACCAAAGGCGCTGCCGAGGCGTTGGTGACGATCAGCTTTGGTTTCCTCACTTTGCTGATGCTCAGTGGTCCCAGTAGTGTCTCGCTGTGGTGTCATGGATTGGCGGCTCCAAACTCGGCGAATGGATGAGTTAATGTCATAGAGGCTCCAAAATGGATTGAGCAAAAGCCACTCCAACAATGGATGGTTAGATTTGATATGGTTGGCTTAAAGCGAAAATGAATGACCGCAACGACACGGATGTGCTCATACCCAACATGACGTTTTGTGATGTCTTGCGCAGGTCCATTGCTGCGCGTTCAGATGAAAACAACAAACATGTGGGTGTGATTTAAAGAAAATATTGTAAGCCATAAACCAATGTTTTGATTAGACCATGTATTTCAGCTGCGAAAGGGTTCAGTCCATTCCCTTGGGATCGTTGTACCACCAACAGTCTACGAAGATAACCACTTCAGAAGATCATGTGAGCCAGTAAAGATGCAGTTGATCAGTAATTATCAGGGTTTTACTAGCTGCTACTAGCTGGCTGACATTGGATTGGTGTAATCCGTAGGGACACCCACGTCAGCCAAGCTATGTGTGTTCCCGCAAGATATCGATCCAGGTGGAGCTGTTGTCATCATGTTACCATCCTTGTTGCCAGAGAATGATGTAATCGCTCACTTTTGGACAAATGACTCATTGATTAAATCTTAGTATACTATCTATATATATATTATATTACATATATGTACATATATTATGTTAATATTTATTAATATATCAATAGATATCACATATATCACTTCAGAAATCTCCTGGTGCAGCGCAAAGACGCGAGGTTTGACTCGGCTCTTCAAGCTGGTCTTTGAGGACCTGGGGGCCTTCTGGTCCTACTGGTGGGGGCCTTTACGAATGGCACTTGTTTTGAATGGTACAGTAGGTACATTATGGCACGTTGAATAGCAGTTGCAACAATTCTACTTCTACGTTTGATTAGTAGCATTGGATAGCAGTTAAGTCCCAACAATAGCAGAAGTCCCAGTTGCAACAGTCCAATGAATCGTAGGTACAAAAATAGGGGCTATTGCTGAAGAGACTTGCAGCAATTGCAACTGCGCGTGCCAAGTTTGATGCAGTTTTCTGCTCGGTAGCCAGACTAAGAAGAGTAGTTCTCCTGCTGTCAGAAGCATATCTGATTTTCGACATAAGGATCACAAGGGTGGCAAGAACGTGCAGTGGGAAGGGGGCGAGCTGATCTTCCTTTGCGTTTGTAACCCAAAGCCATCAATTACACGACAGGTGGCTGACGTTGCGAGTTTGACCTTTCGCCGGTTGCTGTATACGGATTACCCCCCTATACCCAGAGACATAGCATGATATATACCATAAATAGGTAGATAGATAGCTATTACAATAGCCATTGTCGAAATCGCGGTGGTATCTAAATTTAATATCTATAGTATCTAGGTATCTATTTGATATCTATAATATTTATATATATATATATACCATTATGGGATAAATCATACTACATCGTATTACATCATACTGTGGATCGTTGCGAAATGCGAAATCCTGCATCACCTTGGATGATTGAAACCCATCCTAAACAATGGGATGTTTACCACCGTTTTCAACTGGTGCAGGATCTCTTCCACCGTATTACAGTACTATCAGCCACTATTAATATAGCAATGATAGCCATGGTATCTGCCAGGACATCACCGACTCTGATCCCTGGACGCGGCATGAGCAGCTTGGCGTGATGGCAACATAGCTATGGAACATTCTTTATCAATGGAGGTTTCTAGCTGTGAAAATCATCTATAAATGGGCCATGTTCCATGGCTATGTTAAATAGCCAGAGGGTATACTGTATACATGCACAATCTACAATAAATCAAACTTTTAGTGCATTGATACAATGAATATATGACTACTTGTGACATCGATTTTATATGTGTGCGCGTTATTGTTTTGATTTATTTGTATGTACATATATTTAGGGGTTTACATGCATGGATTGATTTGCATGTAACAGGATATCTTGTATATGCATATGAAAATACATGCATAGATTTATTTTGTTAAACATATAAGGACTGATGGATGGTTTCGACATGGTTCAAGTCTATCTATGTATTTATCCATCCATCCAATCTATCTACCTGAATCTACCTTCCTACCTATCTATAATTATTTGATATTATTTGTTTGTCTATCTATACTGTGCCTTTGGCAATTCATCCTATCCGAGATGATGATTCCCGTGCTTTTCGTTTTTGGGATGAGTTGACACCAGCAAGCATCAGCGGACTTGATAGGACCTATCAGCGTAGATCTATTCTTTGAATCATCACAACAGCGTTTTAGGGATACTTCACGTCCAGATGTGAGATAAAAAATCTGACCTGTTCATTGGGAAAGGATTAAATATAGGATTTGATCAAGCTTAGCCTCTGGAAATTTAACATAGCTATTGAACATGACCATTTATAGTCGATTTACCCATTGAAAATGGTGATTTTCCATGGTTATGTTAGTTTACCAGAGGGTACTTGGATTTGAGTGGGTTTGTCTGAAAAAGAGGTATCCCTGAATTTCCCATGATATTAATTGATCCCCAGTTTCCTACTAAAAATCCCATAAAGAAACAAAACATCATATTGGGATATCCCAGAACATATCCTGAACTATATTTATAATTCTGGAGAAACATCCTATTGGGATATCCCAGAACATATCCTGAAATTCTTTATAACAAATCTAATGAAAAATATCTGTAATAGTTCCCTATGATTATGTTTGATCACTAACATTTTCGTGATATGTTACCCGATTTCTGACAAATCCATATACAATTGATGGCCATGGAACTCTTTAACATTTCTTAAGCTTTGACACAAAAAAAGAGATCGTCGGGGCATTTGGGGCCCCAGGCTGCATCCCATCGGTGGTCACACCATGCTGCTAGAAAGATCATAGGAGTGTCAGAGGGATCTGCCAAACATGGGCTAAGAGGAAACAATAGAATTCTATGAAACATTGTTTTTATTCATGGTATTGTATTGAACACAAAAAAGAGATCAACTATCAACTATCAACAGTCTTTTTGTTTGCTGGTTGGTGAGGTTTTTTCAATAGAGACTTGATGTCATCATCCAGGGTGGTTTTCTCAGCATCAACGTTTGGTGATGTCATCCAGAATTAGTGGTTGTTTGATGACCAGTTGCAGGTTTACGTTGTTTAATTTACTTTACTCTTGATCTACTTGGGTATTGTTGCAATAATCACTGGAAGCTCTATGATTTTCACGCAGCATTTTTAAAACAGTCGGTGTTTTCTCTGGTCATGGCCTGGAAATTCCTCAACTTCGATGCTCCCAGGTACTGTCCCGCCATGCCGCGGAAACTGCGACTCCGACTCTTTTTGGTGATCCTAGGCCACTTGGCACCACTTGGCACCACTTGGCACCACGGGTCATGGCTGTGAACCGCACTTCGCTTGGTGAACTCTTGGGGTTTAAGGATATCAACCAGATCCTAGTTATAAGATGTTATTAACTACTTTGAATTGTTGATATCCAGTGAAAACCAGATAGTATAGTATAGTTTATCTAGATTCTAGAAGCCTGTGGGCAGAGGTTTCTAGTATGTACCAGGGGGTCTGTGGCAAGCTTAGTTGGTGCAAATGGCGACGGCATGACGACGACATGCCCATGGCATGGTGACAGCATCGCGACGGCATGGCGACCACATGGCGACGGCTTGGTATATGGAGAAATATCAACCAGATCATTGAACTATAACTTGGTGACTGTCAATCCAGTGTTTGGGATCATCTCACGGGGCGAGAAAAATTGATCGCAATGAGTTCACCTCAAAGGTGATGCGATCGGTCCTCGATAAAACCTATATAAAACAGTGGTTTATGCGATTTTCCTGGATTGGTTAAGCAATTTGTGCTGACTTGTAGATGTGCTTTTTTTATACGCATCCAACTGATATATCCACCATAAAGCTCAGTTAGCCTAGCTTTTTGAACCAGCTAATGTGGTAAACCTAATGCCATAAACCTACCATTTGGGATGGTTGTACAACCATCCATTTCTGGTGATATTGCGGATGGTTTATCAGTGGTTTTACCAACTTTACCATCATTATATAATTCACCACAGGGTGCGATGATTGTCCAATTAGAGAAAGGAGTCCTGAGACGAGCTCGAGCTGTACGAAATCATGATTTTGGAGGGATATTTTTGTTTTGTCATGTTATTGCTTATTACTATTTTTTAAAGGCTTACCAAGTTTGGTATGTTTTAAATATTATATTATTGATTTCTTGTTGGTTTTAACATGTTTTAACATTTGTTTTTGTTTGGAGTGACCCTATGGTAAATCAACATGAACTAACGTAGACCATGAGCATATCCCGCTATTAGTGAAAACGAATCTTCCAACCACTACCTGACAGGGTCTGTGTTATAGTTTACTGGAGGGGTAACATAAATTGGATTAACTCGTGGTATCAAACCAACCATGACGATCCTGCCATGAGTTGTCGGTGACAAGAAATGCCTTTCCGAAATGGGGATGAACGGTCAGGGTCAATGCTGCGGGGAATGGCAGGGCTCGTTTTGTTCGTCGTGTAGCATGTAGCAAAAAAAGGAGTTCACGGCTTCAGCGGCTTCAGCGGCTTCTTTGCCCCTGGGGGTGTTCTGGTTGTTTGGCCGGACAAGCGCACAATTTCCTTCATCAACTGGGTTCCTTGAAGACGATCAGCGTGTGTTCGCCCGGAGCGTGACATGTCAACTTTAGGGATGTCAGGCGCAGACTCTGTTTCTATCACATGTTCATCGCATTTACCCTCTGGTAAACTAACATAGCTATTGAACATGGCCCATTTATAGTTGATTTACCTATTTAACATGGTGTTTTTCCATAGCTATGTTAGCTTACCAGAGGGTATCCGAATTATCCTTAATTATCCATAGTTGTTGCTGCCAAATCAAGTATGTTCTGCATGCACAGACCAGAATGGGCGACCATTTTTCAGGACCCAACACAAATTTGGCTGGTAAATGCGTTGCAGGCAATTCCCTCCGACCCCCCCCCAAATCAAATTGAGGTTGGTACTCCACAAAATAAAGGTATTGAGTTTGAACAAAGATTTTCCGCGTTTGAAATGTGCGATAAATATATGACAATAATTGACAATATATAGCTTCCATGTGAAATTCAAGAGGTTTTTCACCAAAAAAATGGCCCAGGCAATTTGGCCTGCACTGCATGGTTGGAGAAGGCGCATTTTTTTCCGTACCCATGAAGGTACAGGAACCACAGCTAAAGTAACTGAAAGATAGAAAAGAAACAAATTATCACCAGTTTTGTGGAATTGTACTTTTCTATCCTTTTGATGTGTTGATATAGTCTTGTGAATAGTTTATAGTTGTAATTTTGTTACAATGACTTAATCTGGATTATATTTTTGGGTGGTAGATACAGCTGAACTGGATGGGTTTATTTTCCAACTTATAACTGGGCCGGGGAGCTCTTCTTTGTATGTTAAACATGCTTTTCCAAATCCTGATTTGGGGTGCTCCATTAACTAATCTTAAAACTAATCCATTTGGTGCTTTAGAGCAGAATGGATCTACGCGGACCATAGCCATGTCGCGACGTCACCGAGAGTTTTGGTTTGGATTAGGGATGAATTAGGGGAATCGAAATTGAAATCACCCAGCAAATCAGATTTGGCGAATCACTTTGGACTCGGCGAGATTTGGTAGATTTTTGTTCACCAATCGCCTATCGAATCGAGGTCGTCCCAGCAAAATGAGATCAAACAAAAAGTGCTGACCTGACCTCAGCCTTTTTGTTTCCTGTTTTTATTTCGGTTCATTGGGTACTCTTTGGATCCCCCGCTAATGTACCTTTATAGAATGAGTTTGTGGTCGTTTATGGAATGCAGTTTTGGGTATCATTCTATAAACCCAGATTTGGGGGGAATCGATCGGACCGGTTGGAACAAGCAAGTACATGAACCCTCCCTACTCATTCTATAAAACCAAGGTTTTGCAACCCTTTAACTCATTCCATAAAAGCCAAAATGCTCCAAAAAATGGATGTTAAATCAAAGTTAACCATCCTGGTAGATGCATTCCATAAATCCCATGGAGTGTCATGTTCGATTCGAGTAACAGACTTGTTTCGAAATGTTTGGACCAAACATGCACTTGAAATAGCATTCTATAAACCGACATGTCCTGCTGGCTTTCCTCCTGGTCTTTTTACTTGTAACTAGCCAATTCATTCTATAAAGTTAATTTTTGGGGTTTTTAACAATCGAAATCTCAGATCCTTAAACTTGCCGGACCATTCCATAAATATGCCTCAGATTCATTCTATAAAAAAAGAGCACCCTCAGAATCATTTTATAAACCAACATGTTTATAGAATGCAGTCAGCCACAGTCTAGGGCACATTCACGGAGGATCTCTTTGGTAATTTTAGCATTGCTATTTAAAATGTTCCATTTATGTTTCATTCATAGATGATTTACCTATATACTAAACATCACTAAACTAAAGATCATGATTTTCCGCAGCTACCACATTTCCAGCATGTCATATACCCCCAGCTTTGCCAGTGGATTGATTCTCAGCCATCCACAGGTCCTTATCCAAGGTCGTGTCGGCCACTTCTCTTGAAGCAGCAGGGGGGTGGGTTCGGAAAAGTTGATCCATAAATATTGGCTATAGAGTATATAATTAGGGCAAGAAATCATTGGTCAGAAATCAACATAAATATTACTACAAATATTGCCAGATCCATAAATATTGGCCACAGAAATCAACATAAATCAGGGTATGTTTTTTTAGATACGGACTGTGGCTAAGCGGCTATGGATTGATGATTTGTATTTATTATTTATTTATATATACCCTCTGGTAAATAAACAGTTGGACCCGGAAGGTTGCCAATTTTAAGCGAAACTAGTCTTCCAACCCCGATGACTGCCAGAGTCTATGTTAATTTACCAGAGGGTATATATGTACTGTTTCTGTTTGTTTGTTTTGAATTTCACAATTGTAGTTTCCAATTTTGAGGTTCTATTTGCCAGAATCAAACAACTTGTTTAACTATATATTTAAGTTGACCCCTCCAGTAATCAAACGTGGCAATTGAAAATCCACCATACAGTTCGATGATTTTCCCTCTCCAAACCCCCAATTTATAGATTATTTTCCAGTCAGCCATGGTTGATGACACCACGGGGTATGTCAAACTTTACGACCCATATCCAGACATATGGGGATGAAACAATACCCATTTATATATACCATATGTGGTAGAGGTGCATACCCATTTACCAGCTATTTTGGCGTTAAGCAGGTTTCTAGGTTTGGACTTTTTATGCATAGCCTCTTTAGATTCACTTAGTTACATCAGTAGCAGCTTTACACTGTGGTTTTTGCTACTGCTACTGCGCCCAGCGAACATCCCATCATCCTGTGATCCTGTTGGGATTGACGGGTTTCAAAGGATTGGAACTGTTTTTTGATAAGAAAATAATACATGCGTTTCAATCCAATATTCATTCCAAAGTATTCCAGTGTTCAATTTGGTCAAACTATTCAATAGTCTATAATCCCACTACAAGCTACAACAATGATCTCAATTGCATTTGATGCCCGGAAATAAATGCAGCTTATCTAGTGACTCTAGTGAGTGGCCATTGTGCATGACTGCAGGGCTCTACTCTCATTTCTGCCGCGCCATATGCGTTTGATCCATCATTTTGTTTGCATATATACATGTATTGGGACAAATTAGTGCGACATCACTGGAATGATGGTTACTGGTAACCATCCAAAAATGGATCAACACGGCCTCACAAATGCATGCATACGTCCATACCTCGGAATTGCAATGTCCATCCATTTCCTCTGGTTCCAGACACCAAATGTCATGGCGATTTGGAACGAAGCATTTCATAAGATTTTGTTAGGCGCTTCACATCGCTTCACCACCCAAAATGGCCTTGATTGAAGATGAACATAGGGTATCCCCATTCCATACAGTACTTCATCATCGTGTAATGAGGCATACTGACCGTTTTCAGACACACCCAAACATCGATCATTGTTGCTGATATCCCCACTATATCCCCATCCCATTATATTCCCATGTTTTTGTTGATTTTACATCCCACTTATTCCGAATTGCCACTATACAATTCCTATATCAAGCTCCCACTATATTCCATTACATCCCCATTATAGCAATTTTCTAATATCGGAGTATTCAGGGTATCACATTGCTGGTTGTATGTCCGCTTTTCTTTTCCACATGATATTCCCCGCGTTCTTTTTTTGGGAGGGACCAATGACCAACCTTATCTCCATTCCATGCAGTTAACATTTCAACCCATCCATTCCTCAACACCTACATGATATCCCAATATATGGTTATTCTATTCCCAGTAATACATATTATATGCCATTTATGGTTGATTATATACCATTTAAATCCATTGACAGACATAGATCTACTGGTTGGTGGTTTGGAACATGAATTGTAATTTTTCCATTCAGTTGGGAATTTCATAATCCCAGCTGACGAACTCATGTTTTTCAGAGGGGTTGAAACCACCAACCAGATTAATACCACTCTACCAGCTTCAAGAAACTAGTCAAAACCAGCGCCCCCAGGTGACTATATGCGAGTTCTTGGTCGTGCGCTCTCCAAACACGTGACCTTGCGGCTCTAAAAAAGTACCGCCCCATCCGGTGATCTACCGCAGGATGGGAAAAAGTCTGGGCAAATTGCCAAGATCTGGCCATCACCTAACCGGGAAAATGGTGCATCAAACATTGGGGGGTATATGGATGGTATATGGATGGTGAAATACTGGCGACGTGTCCAATTTTGGAAGTTCACTGGTCCTTGTCCATTGGTATGAAATGGTATGAATCCGTATTGTTTGAGCCCAGCCACTTTGGCCCACATTGCCAGACGTTTTCGTGCTGGTTAGGATAGGACATCATCATACATCATCGCTAAAATAGCTTCAGTTTTTTCTTTTATGTTTTGCCCAGGAACAGAAATGCCATCCGTGCACCTGCAGAAACTTTTAATGCTGCGCCTGGCGTTCCAACGGTGCACGTGCGAACAGCATGACGTTTCAATGTCTGGGACCGTGCGGAAGTTGACCTCGTAAGCAATGAAAACAAGATAGTAACATACAGAATGTTACCAGCCATATTGTCCAATATGATTGGTTCTATTTAAATTCTAATTTTATTCTAGTCTAGTCTACTTTGTCCGGAGCAAAGCATGGTGTGGTTCTTTAATAGCTTTTTCTTATGCCAAAATTAGTATCCCACCCTCCACGTTTGTTGTTGTTTATGACAAGCTTCTATAATCAATGCAGAGAGTCAGGGACCGCTGTTTGGAGATGTCTTTCAAAAGTTTTTTGAATGTCCAGAAACCGTAGAACACTTGATCTTTGGAAGACCTGGGTACTTCAAATCATATTTTCTTTGTTGAAACTATACCACATTGTGCCCGCCATTCCGCACACTCCTAGCCCAATGCCATTTTTGGTGATAGTTATATTTTCTCGGTGGAGAACCGGCACCGCAAGGTTAAATAAAGAGTGCGGATACTGGCAGATTCAACCCTTTAAGCAGAAACACTAGTGATCGTTTGGCAGACAAACTATGATTACTCTCTGGTAAACTAAGAGTTTGCGAACTGGAAAATCACTATTTTTAATGCGTAAATCCATTATTTCTATGGCCATTTTCAATTGCTATGTTAGTCTACCAGAGGGTATATAAATCATGCTGAACCAGTATAGATAGTTGTTGAACCTGCAGCAAACTATCCCTGAAAACCGTTGTGATTTTTACCTGCAACAAACAGGGAGTGCGCCACATGAGACATGATCTCGTCTTTTGTTGGAACATGGCCGACCTCACTGCAACATACCATCGGTTCAGCAGGATTGTACCCTGGAAATTGATTGCTATGGTTAAGTTTTTTTGCTTTCAAACAGGTTGAACATGTCACATCGAAAAAACATGTTATATGATGCTAAATGCTACTGTACATAAAATTATTATTGTTGTTGTTTTTTATTAGTATTATTAGTAGTAGTATTATTATTATTAAATTATTATTATTATTATTATCATATAAGTATCATCATCCTACAACTGGATATCATGACCCCACAGAATATCATCATCCGATAGGTATCCCATCTGAAAAAGCGTACACTCAGACATCGCTGCCAGCCTAAGCTCCTGGTTGGTACAGAATTTCCCTCCGGTCATCGAACATGAGAAAATCTCTATAAATGGAAGATTATAGCTGGGAAAATCATATGGTGCATTTTCCACTGCCATGTTCGATTACCAGAGGGTACATAAAACGAGAAATCAATCCCTCTCAAAATTCGTCATGTCAACTTTGGATTTATAATGCGCTGTTTTTGACAAACATATGAACCACTCAAAAAACAATGCCATTTGCTACTAAAATGAGACTCAATGATGAACAGCCAAGGGGTGATTGGAAGTAAAAATGCGAGGGATTGACATTATTCCCGATTGGACATGCTATGAGAATGTATGAGATGGATCAAGGAGTTCCATATTCGATTGCAACGGGGTAGCATACCTGATTTAATCGGGAAGGTGATCGGACGCCTTTGCAGTTAGGGGTGCACCATTTCAGACAAACCCATATTATGTTGATTCATCTTGCTTTGGCATTTCCACACTGCTCAACCGTTTAGTGCTGTCCAGTTTGGGAATATCTCAAGGATCCCACCAGGGTTGGCGTGCTGCAACCTATTAGGGGATTCATAGCCACAGCGGAAGGAATTGGCTATTTAACCTAGCTATGGAAGAAGTGACCATTTTTTTCCAGATCATGTATATCATTTGTATATGATGATTTACCTATACAACATGGTGATTTTCCATAGTCATGTTGGCTTCTCCCCATAATCCCAATCTATATATCCGAGATCCTATGAACTTACCATTTAGAACTGCATTAAACCCTGCTTGGTGGTTTGGAACATTAATATCCCAACTGGATTTTCATATTTTTCAGAGGGATTGAAACCACCAACCAGTATATATCCGATATCCTATGAACTTGCCACTAGAACTGCATTAAACCACATGAAAATTACCAAAGGGATCCAGAGGGTGGCCAGGGCCCAGCCTTGATCTTTCGCATGCCAGTCATATGCGTGGCCGGTGCTGCAGTCTGGCAAGGACTTAGTCGGTTCCGGCCTCAGAATTGCGAGGATTTGGGCTGGTCCCTGGGCAAATCACTAACTTTTTTCTTTGGAATATGCAGAATATAGGTGGGTGTGTGTATATGTGATTATATATGTATATACACATATATGATAGATTATCTATATTATATTTTGTGTTCCATCCCAAACAATGGGATGATGGTCCCCACTCAACTTTGTTTTGTTGGGCGTAGTTCAACCAGCTCTGGAAAGGCCAAGCCAGTGTCATCTATCCTTCAACACCAGCAGCTTTCAATTCTTAGATTCTTCAAGTTTCAAAGACCAAACTGCTCCACCAGACCTAACCAGCATATGGTCCAATCAGCGCCCAAGCCCGCCCGTTCTTTGCCCATCCCAATGACCTTGACCTCAAGATGAGTGCTTGGTATAAACCTTGTCCAACTGTGATAGCACGTTGCAGGTTGGTGACATTTTTGGATGTTGAACTTGTTTGACCTCTCGAATTTCCCCGGCTGCGACTATCCAATTTGTGAGGCTGTGAGTTTCGGACCATCAATTGGTCGTTGACATCCCAAATGCACATAAATATACATAACATATCATAAATGTACATATTACATACCATAAATATATACATAAATCATCAATGTAACATATTGTAACATACCCATCGGTTGTCCAGATCATAGTGTAACTTGGCACCCTGGGCTCCCAGTTTTGGACATCTCCAGGCGTGGCAAAGACAGGGAGCGGCAAGACCTTGGCGTTCCTGCTGCCGGGCTTCGTCAAGCTGAGGACAACGCATGGCAAATCCCCAGGTTTTTTTCAGCACCAAAAGATATCCCAAAACTATGACAAAACCATGGCCAGATGGGCAGTTCCCACGCATGTGTTTTTTTTGCAGGGATGATACAGTATTAATACAGACATCATTATTATGATGAAAGGAAATCGATGGACATGGACATGGTCATGGGAGATGTTTGATGGAAGAAATAAACAAGAAATCAAGTATCAAGATGTAGATTTGGGTTTGCAATTTATTGGAATGTACAAAAAAGCCAAGGTTCATAATTCCAATAACTAGGGTGCATGATAGAGACCTTATGCCAATTGTAAGGGGTAAATCATCCAACTAGGTGAGCCACCTATACCATAGCCCTGTTAAATTACCAAAGTGTATATAAATAATAATATATATATATATTGTAACCTATGTTGTATGAGTGAAAACAATATATTCATTGGTAATGTAATGAGTGTACACATAACATACATATACATAATATATACATATACATGTACATATACATATACATACGTATACAGATACATCCATGCACACACATATACATCCAGACATACGCATACATACATATATTACATTACGTCAAATTATGTTAGGTAACGTTCCGTTACATGAAATTAAATTATGTTAGGTTAACGGTTACAGTATATGACATCACATTAAATTACATTACATACATACATACATACAGACATACGTACGTACATACGTACGTACGTACATACATACACACATACATTACATACATTACATACATTACACACATTACATACATTACATACATTACATGCATTACATGCATTGCATACAATACATACATTGCATACATTACATATATTAATTACATTACATTACATTACATGACATTACAGTACGTTACATTACATACATACACTAATACATCCATACATCTATACGTACATTACGTACATTACATTACATTACATTAAATTACATTACATTACACTACATACATTACATTACATTACATTATATTATATTACATTACATACATTACATTACATACCTTACATTACATACATTACATACATTACATTACATACATTGCATATATTAATTACATTACATTACATTACATGACATTACAGTACGTTACATTACATACATTACATTACATACATCCATACATCTATACGTACATTACGTACATTACATTATATTACATTACATTACATTACATACATTACATTACATACATTACATATTTTAATTACATTTCACTACACTACATTACATTACATTACAGTACGTTACATTACATACATACATTAATACATCCATACATCTATACGTAAATTACGTACATTACATTACATTGCATTACATTATATTACATTACATTACATACATTACATTACATGCCTTACATTACATAAATTACATACATTACATACATTACATACATTACACTACATTACATTACATTACATTACAGTACGTTACATTACGTACATACATTAATACATCCATACATCTATACGTATATTACGTACATTACGTACATTACATTACATTATATTATATTACATTACACTACATTACATTACATACATTACATACATTACATTACATACATTACATACATTACATACATTACATACATTACATACATTACATACATTACATTACATTACATTATATTACATTACATTACATACAT